AAAACCAAAATTTTTTTAAAAAAAAAAAAAAAAAAAAGAGGCGTAAAGGTTCAATTGTTGGACTCCTACGTAGTTGACTGTGGTTCGAGTGCAAGACCTGGTGGCTTAAAAGTCATGCTGAGGGATCAGCAGTTAGCGTAATGGCTATGTCGCTGAACTCCCATGTATTCGACCACGGTTCGAGTCACAGACCCGGTGGCTTAAACTCACGCCAGGTGCATGTGCGTGCGTACCTAAGATCCCGAGAGGAGAATGGAGGAGAAGGGATTGCGGCGTGGCCATCACCCCCGGGGGTGATTTCTCACTTTCTGTCTGTCTCTCTCTGTCTTTCTGGCAAGTGCACATGCCCTGTAACAAAAACCTCTCAAAAAAAAAAAAAAGAAAATGCTGAGCGTGTGTGCCTAAATCCCAGGAGGAAAATGAAGAAGGGATTGCTGTGTGGCCATTCCCCCTGGGAGATGATTTCTTGCTTTATGTCTCTCTGTCTCTGTCTCTCCAGCAAGCACGTGTGCCCCATAGCAAAAATCTCTCTTAAAAAAATAAAAGAAAGAAAGAAAAGAAAAGACTAGCAGGTGGTGTGGTGGTGAAGGGTGCTGGACTACCACATGGCCGACCGTGGTTCGAGTCCCAGACCTGGTGGTTGTTTTCTTACTTTCCCTCTCTGTCTCACTCTTTCTCTGTCTCACTCTGTCCCCCTCTAGTCAAAAATTAAAATAGGGGCCGGCAGGTGGTATAGTGGTTGAGGGCACTAGACTCCCACATGGCCAACCGTGGTTCAAATCCCAAACCTAGCTGCTTGCTTTCTCACTTTCCCTCTCTTTCTTGCTCTGTCTTTCTCTGATCAACTTAAAATAAATAAATAATTTTAAAAGTTTTAACAAAGTAATTATTTTATTTAACTTTATTTACTTATTTATTCAAATAATTGTCTTATTTAACTTTATTTATTTATTTTAATTTGACCAGAAAGGGACAGAGCAAGAGAGAAAGGGAAAGTGAGAAAACAAGTTGCCAGTTTTGGGACTCGAACCATGGTTGGTCATATGGGAGTCCAGTGCCCTTAACCACCACAGTACGTCCTGGTCCCTCCATTATTATTTTTTAACTTGACCAGAGAGAGACAGAAGGAAAATAAGAAAGCTGCCAGGTCCGGGATTCGAACTGCAGTCAGTCATGTAGTTCAGCGCCTTCACCATCACACCTGCTGGTCCCTGACCCTCCTTTCAGAGAGCTTCCCATCTTTCCCCATGGCCTCCAGCACCATCAGAAAGTCCTTTCACAAATCTTACTGCAGTCCCTCCTGCTGCAAGCTGCTCTTTTCCTTATATGGGTGAAACAGGCAGACCAGGACTCACACACCCCTCCCTCCTCTCCAGAAGACAGCCGTGCGCCTGCAGCTGCCTGCTAGGTGCTGCAAGGATCCTCTACCTGCTCCTCTGCCCCAGGGCGCCCTCCTCCTCCTGCCCTTGCTCCAAGCCCACCGAGACGCCCAAGGGGCTGCGCATTGCGAGACACTCTGTGAGTCTATCCTGGATCCTCACTGCAGAAAGAAACCGGTTCTTATTGGGTGTGAATCCACGAAGGCCTAAACGCTTCTAGGGGCATGGCTGTGTCGGGCTGGGGTAGAGGCTGAAGCCTCACAGGGTCTCAGAGACACCAGGACTTCACCTCGTTTTGGAAAGCCTAGAGGCAGAGCCAGGAAGTCTCACGGGGTCTGCGTGAGGCCGGAGGTAGCTGCGGCCTGTGACGGTTGACCCTCAGACAAAAGCAGCTTGTCTGGGCTGCAGGAGGGAGGGGAGGAGGGGAGGGAGGGCAGGCACCCAGCCCTGCCTATTTAGGGCAGAAAGACTGGCTGGCTCCCCC